GGGGGGCTCGAATCCCGCCGCCGGTTGATATTTTTGGCGCGTTGTCCCAATAAACATGCCGACGTCGGCCCCGTCGGTCCAACGACGAACGATCTCGTCAACCTCGGCAAACGATCTCGGCCCGACGTCGGCTCGACGTCGGCTGGACTTCGGCTGGACGTCGGAACATGCGGGCATATCCGACGTCCAGCCGATGTCGGGCCGACGTCGTCATGTTTACTGGGGTAATATTGCGACCTTCACAACACTGCTGACGTCTTGTAACTATATAGTCCAGGGGACGAGTTAGGTCCTCGTTTAGACCCCCTCGCCATCGCCGGCTTGAAAATTCATGGGCCCCAGCGGGCACTGGCTTACGCGCAGATTCACAGCATAGGCTTTTCGATTTCAGGATTCACATAAGCTTTTAAGAGCTTGTTTTGGAGCCCATATTTCAAAACTCAGTGGTGGAAAACACTTAAAATCAGCCTGACCTCACCTGACCCTAGCTTCTCCAAATGTGTCACGAGACAAATTTTGAAATAAATCCAAAATGCCACAGACTTCGTTTCCAAGAAGTTCTAACAGATTCGGACTATGTGTTTTAAGTCCTTGACCCACCATTGACGGTCGACGAATGACCTGACCATAATATCAGATACCACCGGCTTCATGTTGTCTAGGCCAGCATCTTCATTTTTCGTGAAGCTCTTATACTCGGTCAGGAACCGATCAGCTGTAGGAGTCCGATCGACCCCCTCCCCCTCCCCTCCCCCCGGCCTCTAGGTACATTAGCTGCTGTATATACGCCAATAAGGACAAGGGTGGACCCGAAGAAGAGAAAGTTGAATACTAAACACACTAATATGTCCAAAATAAGCTATGGATTTACTTGGGGTACTCCTAAGGATATTCGATGGGTAGTCTTGGGATTTGAGACGAGAATCTTGGGAAATTCTGGTCGAGATCTTGGGATGGAGCAAAAATGTGGATGGCATCACTGGTCAGAAGATGACGTTTAGCACTCCGAGGTGAAGTTAACAGAGAACAGCAATTAGGTGCTAGAAACAGCTACTCAGGCGCATAACCACCACTGGGGACCGGTCCCCAGTAACTTTTGGGTTACTGGGGACCGTCCCCAGTAAAACCGAAGACCTCCTCAATTTGCTGAAATAGTCAAATATTGTCTCTAGATCGACGTGAAGAGTGTTATGTAGTCAACGTGAGATCGACGTGAAGCGTACCTGCAGGTCCTGGAGACGCTGCGGGAGACTCGTGACCCGGGGACATGTGGGCATTCGATCAGCTGGACTGCTAGAAAAATGGGGGACGGCTACCACTTTTATGTCGCTGGGACTAGTGCGCTCCCTCTTGGCGGTGCTGGACCGGCTGGTCATCAACCTGCAGAAGCCAAGCTGCACAGTCTCCATGATGATCGGGCTGGTGCGCGAGGCCATTGGCTTTCTTGTGAGCATGCGGGAAGAGGCGGACGATGCCATCAGTCACCAGATGGAGAAAGTGTCGGCGCTGTCTCTGGAGCCCCCCCCCCCCCGCACTGGGGCGAAGGTTAACAGGCTGATCAGCTGAGCCGCTGACCCCAACATGAAATGCCACCTGCGACCGGCCGGTACCACCGCCGGCTGGGGAGCCGGCCTATGCTTACATACAAACATTCACGCGCCATTCTGTATGAGCCGAGGTAGGTACTCGCAATGATGATGGTAGCCGTGAACGATATTCTAGTACACAATACACAATGATAGACCAGAATACTGAGCATATGAATACTTACACGGTTATACGTGGGTTATGCAATAAGAAATGGAAAAAAAATGAAAATCACCTCTGATGTGACAAATGAACTGATACTTCATACTGACTTGACCAGATGCGCCACGGCTCTTTCCGTCGTATCAGGCTAAGCTCGACCGAACCGAACACGTTAACCCGGCACCGCCTGGGCTATTTCCGTACTCACGACAGCCTGGGGGGTCGGATCCGACCCCCCCCCTGTTATCTCGAGAACCAATGGTCGTATCGAGCCCCGCGAGGCGGCGTTCGAAAGGTCTCTACGAGACCTTCCCAAAGCACTCTTAAGATTTTAAGATTGAGGTCAACTTTCGGGTCAAGGTCAGGTCAAAGGTCAAATTCTGGGGTTTTGCATGATTAGGCTTACGGACAGCGGAATCGACAGCTGCTGCTCGAAACTCACCAAAAATGACCTCAAAGACCTGGTGAAGGTACCATGTGCGTATAGGGGTCATACTAAGTACGGGTCAAGGTCAGGTCAGGTCACGAAAGGTCACGGTTTTCACTTTCTGCTACATGGGTGTGCGACACATGTTTTATGGCTTATTTTTCACGCCGAATCCGATGGTAATGGTTATATTATATATGACCTCAAGTCACTGTGCTGGTGATAAGTGTGCATTGAAAGCATAAAAAATCGTTTATACCATACATAACTAAACGAGGGCTAAGAAAAAAGCTCAATTTTTTCAACTTTTTATTTTTGACATAAAAATGCACTTTTCTAAACGAGCTTTGTCCCAGGAATCTAGTGGTGCCATTTGTTTTCACATGCGATGTTCAGAAGTGCCTCTAATTCACGAAAATTCTTATGACGTCACCATGCCCTATGCATGTTGGAGCTATTTTTTACAATTTGGGGGTCAAAAATCAAGAAAGAAAGTTGAAATTTGGGACATCTAATGTTCTATTAGAGCTCTATAACAAATATTCCGGTGTTTTAAAAATTATCAAAATTTTGGATTTTATTGGCTGTTTTCCAAAAAATAGTTTTTTGAATTTTTAGGGGTAAAAAACGCATTTTATGGAAAATCCGAGATAGCCATTTCAAAGAACTCGTTGAGCTGCGTCTATTCATGTCCTTAATTTGCAATTTGCTTTAAACCCTGATTTTTGGCGATTTTTTAAATATTTACCACTTTTTGACTGAAAACGCCATGTAGTTACGTCACTAAAATCGATATATCTCAAAATTTTTGGAATTTTTTTCTTAAAAATTGCGCAGAAGACGTCAAATTGATGGGGGAGAAGGTATGCCAAGTTTCAAGTCGATAGCGTAAGCGGTTCATAAGTTATTCAAGAAAAACGGAGGAGTCGGATCCGACCCCCCCCCCCCCCAGGGCGGTCGCGGGTTAAGACGCTCCGCGGACCGACTGACGAACGTCTTCAGCAGGTCCGGGCGGCTCAGGCTGTGCAGGTCCTCCGCGTATACCGCACACACGGCGACATGGTTGAGCCGCTGATGGCTCATGAGCGTCCTCAGCCAGCCCTTTTCAAGCCTCCCACTGACCCAGCTAAACGTACACTGTCTGATTTTTTATCGATGTAGGTACTCGCTCACTCAATTTGTTAAAGCTCCGACGTTTACCTCTGGTTCACTACTTGACATTTTTATATCGAACAGTCGCACTCTAGTCAAACGTTGTAGCACAGTATTCTGTCATTTTAGTCCTCATAAACTTGTACGTACTGTTTTAAAAATCCCACGTCACCGTCAGCCACCGCGGACTGTTCGATCTCGTTGTTTGCGCCGTGTTTCCCTCGTTCAACTTCACTCGGACCTTCTACGCACTGATTGGACACCTGTGTTTTTAGCGTCCACCGTCACTGTCAAATGGAATGTTTTTACCGGCATTTTCTTACCGATTATTGACTACCATGCGCCCATGCGGACCATGCGCATTAGGAACGTTCGTGCCCCCGCCGTTAGTGACGACACCCGTTCTCTGATGTCTCGCCGCCGCGCCGCGCTAGCCTCTCTCGGCCACAGCTCCAACGAGTACAAGGAGCTCAACCGCGCTGTACGTGCCGCTATTAGGAGTGACAGCTGTCACGATATCCAGCGCCGTCTACGCGAGGAGGGGAGTGGCTCTCTGTGGCAAGTTATTAGGCCAGCGGTCGAGAGTGGGAGAGCCGGGCACAGGCTGCCTGACGCCACGCCCGATCAGCTGAACAGTTTCTTTGTCGGCGTAGGTCCGCGTGTCGCCGGCGAGGTTAGAGATGCAGGGGAGACACCTGACCTGCCGTGCCGACTGCCACGTGTTGGAGCCTGTGCTTTTACCTTGACGACCTTGTCGCTGTCGGAGTTGAGGGCTGTCGTACTCGGCATGAGCGGCTCCGCCGCCCGCGGAGAGGATGGTATTTGCGCGCGCATGGTCCGCATGTCCTTTGACGCGATTGGCCCGGTGCTCCTGCATTTGGTCAATTCCAGCATCTCTCTATCGGATGTCCCTCAATCCTGGAAACATTCCCTCGTACACCCCATCCACAAAACCGGTGATCCTTCAGATCCATCAAATTTCCGGCCAATCTCTATCGTTCCTATTATATCCAAAATTGTAGAGAAAGCCGTACATCAACAGCTCTACAGTTACCTATCCAACCAGCGTTACCGCTGGCGTCTCGCTGGTTTCCCCAGATTCTCACGAAAATTTCCCTATTTCCAAAACCATTTCCCTAGATGCGGTTTTTCATGGAATTTGCCGTACTCTCCTCATTTTAACCCTTCGCGTTTATAGCCGCTGCGTCCAAAAGCAGCAACAAACTACATTCTGTAACGTTAATGTAGGGGATTCTAATGAAAATGCGTGGTATATCGCAAATCACCGTACCATCGTGTGGTAGGTATAATATAATTGCGTGGTATATCGCAAATTGTGGTGTGCTGCCGCTGCGCGACGCGGGGAACTTCCGTATGAATAGTAGTACCTAGTGCTGGCGTAAGAGACGAGTCGATGCATTATCTTAACATTAACGTTGCAACGCCATTGCAGTCTCCCAGTAACGCAATATTGTTATTTGTGACTGGGTTTTGACACAAAACAGACAATTATATCCAGTACATGCATTTTGAAATACAGTGACAGTTGACACACATATGCGTCTCATGAAACGAAAACAAGAGTTGAGACTTGAGAGTCTGAGACATACATATTGCCTTCGTGGCCCGGCCTGGCTTGGCTTCGCTAGCCACCGCTACTCACCGACACTGTTCAGTCGACCACACCGAGAGTCACACCGGCCACTTCCTTCGACTGGCTGCGGTGGCGTGGGCCATTTTTCATCACGTCCTGCAGCAGGGAAGCGGACGGCTCGAACATAGTGCAGCCAGCGTTGCCACTCTCTTTAATCGCCTGAGAGGCGAGCATGCGTCCTTTTGTTGTTGCCACCAGCAGGCGATTCGTTTGGTTGGTTTTAACCCTGTTCATTTGCGAGAACGTGCGTTCCACAGAGGCCGTCGAGTGAGGCAGAGACATCATATTCCCCATCAGCTCACACAGATGTTGAAATCTAGGCTCTCCCACAGCGTTCTTCAGTTCAGCCACTTTGGCCCAGAACACTGGCGGTGTTTCCTCCTTCACCGCCACGGGCGCAGTCGCCAGCGCTGCTGGGAGGTCACGCCACTCATCACAGACATCATCCCTGTCAGCATCCTTTACCAGGTGTTTGAATCTGGCTAGGAGCGGTGCCAGTGTGCGAGGACGCTCCTCGTCCTCTGCCGGTAGCATGGCGACCCGCGGCGAGAGCACTTTCAGCTCTGCCAAAATGCTGTTGCGGTCCAGGTCAAACCGCTTCCGAATCTGACTGCACAGGTCCTTTAGGAAGGATTGCGCGTCCGTTCGAAGCACTTTTTCGCCGGAGCCCAGCGGCTCCACCATCAGGTGGGTTTCGCAGCGACCGCCGAGGTTGATGCGGTCCAGGCTCATCGCGATATCAGCTTCCGTCGGGTTGATCTCGTGAAGCGGAACCGATGACAGCACCGCGGGCTTCACGTACATAGCGAGCAGTAAGCGGTATCCGTCACTCATGTCCTGATACAGACGATGCAACTGGAAGTCTTCAGACTGGAAGATCAAATTTAGTTGGTCGACCTTCTTGATCACAAAGCTTACGAAGAGCAGCATGTGCTTGGTGCCAGGCTCCTTCATCCTTTTCGCGATCTCCGTTGCTCGGTCTACCTTCCCTTCCCTTGTCTGGGCTTCGGCGGAGAAGAAGAGCAGCAGAGGCTCCCACTGCTCGAGGATCCTGTGGATGACAGCGCCTCGCGACAGCCAGCGTGTCATGGCCACCTTCGGAATGCTGTGGCATGGCGCTTTGACAGCCTCTTGAAGCAGCGAGAGCGTTTCTTGTCTTTTGGGGCTTCGGGAGAGGTAGCTTGCGATATCTTTGATGAGCGTTTCCAGCCAGTCGGGCAGGCATCTTGCCGCGTGCCCAGCACAGAGTGCTAATGAATGGCAACTGCAGCCCATAACGAAGACATCCGGCACGACATCTTTCAAAAGCTTTTGGAATCCAGCATTTCCTCCCATCATTGTAGAGCAGTTATCTGCACCAAAGCCAATGATGCTGTTCTTGTCCATGCCTGCAGCTTCAAGTGACTTCATCACGGCGTCAAAAAGTCCTCGAGCGGTTCCATCGAACGGCTCCACAAGGTCTAGCATGAAGTCTCTTGTGGCCATATCATCTTTCACGTACAGCCTGACAACCAGTGCCATGACCTGACGGACGGAAACATCAGTCGACTCATCAATCATGATGCTGTACTTTCGGTTTTTGCACAGTTCTGCCACACGACGGGCCTCGTGTTCACCAAGCCCATGGACTGTTAGGTAGGACATCTTTGTTCTTTTTGCCGATGCAGTCTTAAGAATTTCTGAATCAGGGGCCGCGTGTCTTATCATATCCCAGAAGTGGTCCCCCAGGATGAATGGCAGGTCGTGCTCGGCGAAGAACGCAGCGACTATGGTCTCGCAGCGGGCCACCTTGGTGTCTTTTGCAGTGACTGGTTCTTCTTTCGGAGCAAAAAATTGAGTCAGCTTCATTCCAGCAGAGGAAGATATAGCTGCCTTGTGTCCCCTGCTTAGCATATGTCGTTTGAGGGCGGTTTTGTTGGGGTCCTTAAAGAGGAAGCGACAGGGTTGGCAGAGGCATTTGGAGCAGTCCTCAGTGTCCTGTATGAGCCAGTCCTTAAATTCTGGATCCTTCAGCCATTCTGCTCGAAAGGATTGTGGGTAGCTTTTCGGCTTCTTCTTAGGTGGCGTCTCACATCCGGATGAGGAAGGGGAGTGTGATGCCATGACCTGAGAGAGAAAAAAAAATTACTATTAGGCTAGGACCAGGGCAATTGACTTGGATTAACAGGATGTGCCTGACTTGCAATTGTTTTCTATATTCGCGAATTATCATTTTTTATAAATAATGATTAATGTTAGCACCAATTAGTGTACCTATAGCTCCCGTAGTACGTTCAATTGCAATATGTATGTTAAAAATAAGCGAGCTCAGATATTTTGGACTGATTTCGTCTTATTTGGCCTTCACTATCACACAACTAAATATGCAACGTCACATGCAGAAGATGTGACTGGGCAGAATGTGACCGGGCTTATGACCGTGCATTCTAAATTAAACCTTAAATATGCAGGATACCGCCATTTTAACCCACGAACCGCTGGGAGGGGAGGGGGATGGTCATAAAGCTGCCCCCTTACGTTTTATGTGGTAAGATTCGTTATTCGATATACTGACACCAGGCAGACAAGCCAGAAAGTAGAATTTCACACAATCTTACAGTATACGCCAGACAAGGCCTTTAAAATTGCAAAATTATTTTACATTTTTAATGCAGTTTTGCAAAGCATTGATCAAAAGATCATTTTAATTTAACCTGTTCCTCTATCAAGATTGAATAGGTAAATACAAATTATGAAATGACAGCGAAGAATAAAGCAATTTGCAAAAAACAGCAACAATCCATGCATGCCTGGCCTGTTTCTGATTCCAAAGTCAATTCAACTGCTGGCAACATTTCATAGTTTTGATTTTACAGCATACATTCCATATGAAACCATATTGAGGTTTAAAACATGGATTAGTAACGCCAAAGAAGACAACCTTGAATCTTTCTAAGGTTGAGGTGCAGTGAAACTCAAGGAATCGATAAATCAAACAATTTCCTAGCGAGACATTATACGTATTTGACAAGCTCGACCACAGCCATGCAGCCTAATGCTCAAATTAATTGAGTACTTTTCAGGTATGACTTAAAGCTCGCTTGAACACACAATGAGATAAATGCCTTAAAGAGGCAATACTGATAGGCAATCACAGATTGTGAAGGAAGTTCAAGTTGAAGAAAATAAATTCACAGATTTCCTCCACAGAAAAAGGGTATCCAACTTCCAAGTTACGCTTACGCGGACGCCACAGTCCGATTCAAGGCCGTATGGCTATTAGGAGAGAAGCAGAAGCAGTTTGTTTTGAAATGATATCAAGAATTATATATAAATACATACATATGCAATTGCCTTTAATCTTCAAAACGAAAGCATCAAACCTGAATTTTGTGAAAATTGTTCTCATTTATTTGATGACATACTGAAGAATATTTTATGACAATATTTATTTTTATTGTTAGAAAAAAAAACTTTTGGGGGGTTTGTGGCATTTCCCTAGATTTCGTGTGAAATCCATAGATCCCTAGATCTTCGCTGATTTCCATAGAAAAGGGAAATTTCCCTAGCAGCGGTAACGCTGTATCCAACAACCATCTCCTCTCCCCCACTCGGCACGGTTTTCGGCCTCGTCACTCGACTGAAACCGCGCTGATATCCATATCCGATCACATCCTATCCGCTACCGACCGTGGAGAGCTATCCCTTCTCTGCCTGCTGGATTTGAGCAAATGTTTTGATGTGATAGACCACGATAAATTATTGACTAAATTGCAGCTTCATGGTATTGATACAGCTTGGTTTTCGGCATATCTTCACGGCCACACCCAAAGTGTCAGCCTCACTGACGCTCTGGGTGGAAGAACTACTTCATCTCCGCTCCCCAACAGCATCGGTGTTTTCCAAGGCTCCGCCCTCGGCCCTCTTCTCTATTGCATTTTTGCCGACGACCTTAGCTTGTTCGCCGAGGATGCAGTCGTAGTTCAATATGCAGACGACACCCAAATTTTGGTCAGTGGAAAAAAGTCAGAAATTCATAACGTAGTATACCGGATGGAACAGACGCTAGCTTCTCTTGACCTCTGGTTCCGTGCCAACGGCTTAAAAGTCAATGCTGGGAAAACTTAGCTGATGCTGCTGGGTAGCGCTCAAAATTTGCGCAATGCCCCAAATGTTACGGTAAAATTTCGCGATCACGTTATCATTCCCGTTTCGGAAGCACAAAATCTTGGCCTGACGTTCGATCGCAACCTCACCTGGAACACTCACGTCTCTGCCGTCACCCGGCGCTGTTTCGGCATTCTCAGTGGCCTATCACATCTCAGGGGGCGCCTGCCTCCGTCCGTCATCTCCGTGCTGGTCAACGCCTTGGTTCTCTCGCAGCTTCGATACTGTATCACTGTCTATGGCAACGGTTCGAAGAAGAACCTTGCACTCATTCAGAAGACTCTAAATTATGGGGCAAAAATCATTTTCGGACGCAAAAAGTATGATCACGTGTCGGACCTGCTTGAGAAGCTGCGTTGGCTCAGCGCGGAGAACCTTGTGGTGCATGGCACACTGTGCATGGTGCACAAACTGCTGCGCTTCGGTGAGCCCGAGGTGTTAGCCGCCGGTTTGTCAACCGTGGCTGCCGCTAGGAGCTCACTAGGAGCGCAAGCTAGGGTGACCCGACAGGACCACTCACTATATGTGCTCCGATCTAGAACCGAAGCAGGCAAGAGGCGCTTCATCAGCCGTGGTCCGGTTCTTTACAACCGCCTGTCACCCGATTTGCTCGGGCTCCCGGTGCCCGTTTTTAAGCACCGCCTCAGGCGGCTGCTGACGGATCCAACCTGACTGAGTTGAGTTAACCATCTGGTGTGTATGTGTGCTGGTATTGTCTGTATCTATGTTTCTTGTATTATCTTGACTATGATGTATGCGAGTGTGATTGTGATGCTTGTCTCTCTTTATCTTGACTTTGAAACCACCGTTTTAATTTTTGACGAGAGGATGTAATAGCCGCTTTTAGTGGATTTCCTTAATACACGTCTGAGTCTGAGTCTCTTCAGGCGGCCGAGCTGACTGAACGACCTCTCCGCTGTGCAGGTTGTCGCGGGACAGGTCAGGTGAAGCCGGACCTCTCCCGGTACAGCCTCCGCCCAGGGTATATTGAGTGAAGCCTCCGCCAGCAGGTCGTGCAAGTCGTCTTACTTCACCGCGTTACTGACGTCATCCAGCGTCCTCAGGGGCATCTGCCGGGCCTTTGCAATGTCCTGCATCATCTTGTAGTGCAGAAGTAGGTGGTCTGCATCCATCTCTGGGTATTTGGCCGCCAGCTGGGCAATAGAGTCGCTGTCCGCCTCCAGAAGCGCTCGCTCCATCGCCTGCAGCATCTGCTCGTCTCCGGCGCTAGAAAAGCGCAGGCTGGTCAAGTGCGGCGCAGAGCCGATCAATCACCGCCAGATAGATCAGACGGAAGCGATCCTTTGGGGTGGCCGGGTGATGCAGATCTGCGCCGTCGTCTAGGGGGCGTGGTGGGCGGCTCCTTCGCGGCAGGTTGGGCTCAAGATACCTATAAGAAACAGGTAGACCCGATGTTTGAAAGTAAAGCCCCAGTCACAAATCTGACGCACCTGTGACATTCCCTGACACCCACCTGACTATTTTTTAAACTTTTGTGATTTGCAATGTTATGACCTTATCGAAAGTAGTTAAAGTTTAAAATGTATTATTAATGTTGTTTTAAGCAGTATATTGATAAGTATATCAGTACCTAAATTATCAATAAACTACTACAAACAAGTCACGTGATGCTACCAGATTCTGTGCTCAGATGGCATCTTTTTCAACTCCGATTTTGAACACTTTACACCTTCTTTGAGGTCAAATGATGGACGGTTTGAGACACACAATGAAACACTGAATCTATTGATGCCAAAATTTGATCGGTTTTTGCATGTTTAGACTAGTAAATCCTGGCTCAAACTTTGACCAGTTTGTGTGCAAACCCTATTGTGAAGAGAAAACTTCACGCCCGGCTGACGTCATTACTCTGCTACCAAATCGTGTTTCGTGGGGGTCACTTGGGCTCATCCACGCCAAGCTTGTCCGCCTTCTCGCTCGTGCATGTCCAGAATTCGTCGAATTGGTCCCGCTGGGCGTGCACCGCGCCCCGGAGGGTCCCCGCCTGCCTCAGGTTGGAGGCCAGGGGTCCGGCTTTTACCCTGAAATGACCGCATCAATGGTGCTGTCATTCGCAGCAGGTGCAGGGCGAGCCCCAATCCGAAAAGAAACTCGAAGGTCCCCATCCGGCGATGGTACCCGCTTGCTGTGGTCTCCACCTCGGGACGGCTCGCTCTGTCCTCAGCGATACTGTCCAGTGAGGCACAGGTGGCACTGTAGTTGCGAGCAATTGACGATAGCGCCGCTTCGCTGCAGGTCCAGCGGGTCGGACAGAGGGGTCGCAGAGTGCTCTGGGCACCGAAGCTGGCCAGGTAGCACTGCCGAACGTTAGAGTCACGAAAGAACTTCACGATTCCGGCGACCTCGTGTACGGTGTCTCGGAGCCCACGAATTCCCTCGAGACAGTCCTGTACGACCAGATTCAGCCGATGAGCCGTGCAGTGCACAAACAGGGTCAGGTCCTGCTCCTCTTTTAGCTTGGCCTGAACACCTGCAAAGGAAACAAATGATTCCCTATTGACATGTTCTTTAACCCTGGCCCGTCTTGGTGTTTTTCCAGCCGCGAATGTGTAAGGGGGTCCTTTGGACCCCCAAGGGGGTCCAAAGGTCCCCCTTTGGACCAAGGAGGGGGGTCCTTTGGACCCCCCCCTTGCCGTCTGGCCCCTGATTGAGCTAGAGCTTCGCGGAAAAAGCGAGCGTGTTGCCCGTGACGAGAGGAAGCCGATTTTACCCAATTTGAAGGTCATAGGTCATTGGTTGACCTTCCAGGTCATGTCAATGGCCCAAAAGTCGGGAAAATCAGGACCTGTTAGAACGGTGTAAAGTGTCGCTGCTGTTTTTTTTTTTTTTTTGGTGCTGATCACGAATATCACGTAAGTCTTGATCACAATTCACAGATGATGCCCATGCATTTAGGCCAGGTCGGGTCAGGTCAGGTCAACCAGTAGGGGTCCTGCCGGGTATTCGTAATAGGTGTCAACCGCCTCTGACAGCTTCATAACATGTTACGTAGGCACCATGCCAGGCCCAAGTGCCAAAACATTGTGCCAGGGTGCGTGTCTGATTTAGACTAGCAAATAAATCTGCAGTGCATCCAATATGCGATCAGACTGTTCCTTGTCAAAACGACCGATCACGGATGGTTCCTGTTTATCGATGTTTTGCACTGAATCCATGTTATACCTCCATGTTATACCTCACTCGGATCATTTGTTTTATCATATTTTGCATTATGAAGCTGGAATGTTTGGGGTAGTCGTATTCCACAGAAAAGCATTGATCA